AATGATGATTACAATATTCAACACCTATGGACTCGGTAGAGATTGGATAGGCACACGGCTACTTTATTCTAAATCCCCGGCACAAAATTGCTGAAACAATTCAGGACGTTACCGGAGACCATCAGCTTAGTATACGGAAACTAAACATCTCCATCCATCACTTTGCCAACAACACGCCGGATAAAAGAGTTGACTTAAACATAGTTAAAATTTGCTTAGAAGTTACGAGGGTTTTTTACTACCATTCTTAACTCATAAGCTTCCGTACAGGCCCAATGCACCATGTTAGCAACTCGCCTTGCAGCCTTACCAGGTGTGACTCTCTCTCTCATTCCGTGCCATTATTTTTGCATCCCTCTATTCCAGCACAGAGTAACACGGTTCCAAAATTTTTTTTACATATTTCGGTAATTGCAATAAGTCTGATTTATGATGCTACATTGCGTATCACCCCAAATGAGCCTTGCAGCTATTGTCTATGTTGTTTGAGATGCTCGTGCTTGCGGCGTCATCGCATGTGTGTCCACACAGTGTCTTATATTGTGAGACACCTCATAATCTATGGCTCTATGAGATAGTGGTATCAGATGTTTGGTGGGCATGGCATACGCAGCTCTTGAAAATTAATTGAACCTCTTGTAATAACAAAATAGAGCTTTTCTGACCTGACTCCCAACAATCGTCAGGGTGCTTCACTTCTGCGTTGAATGAGAACGGGGTCCGGTGGTGTTATTTTGAGAACATCACCAACCGATAAATTATAATCCAAATTTGGAATACTAAATCGCCTTGGTGCAAAGTCTGTGCGTGTGAATTTGTTGATGCATTTGTACACGCGCGTTTGTTCCTGCTTCGTTAGTTATCGTTTTCATTCATTTATTTATTTCCAAATCAAGTTGTCCATCACAGTCATCTGCACAAGCTCGTTGGCGTGCAAGTTTTATATATTTCAGTTTATATAATTCTTTTTTCATTACTGGGAAGCGTGACTGTCTTTCGTTCTGCCAATGTCGCGTATCTTTACTCTTTCTCGTTTGATGGTGTTGTCATATTGAAGTGTGTCATCATTTTTCTTGAATTTTTAGCCTTATGTTTGCACGAAATTGTCCTCTGACGTTGATTTTGACTTCTTGATTGTGGATATCTTGAGTGTTCGTCACCCTAGTTCGCTTATACCCTGAACAATTACTAATATTGTTTTGATATAAACCCGAGTTTAAATCAACCGCTTTACAATTTAACACGTTTGTTTTGTTGCTCAGAACTCGGATCATAACTGCTGGTTGCTTACTAGAATCCTAGGCAACCTTTGGCTTATACTAAAGTTTTATTGGGTCACTGCTCTGGTTGGTGATTTCTTTAGGCAGTTCAAGATTTTATGATGGAGCTTTAAAATTATTGTAGCATGTTTTGAAATAGATGGCTCTGCGGCCGATCTCGCCCTTCTTGGGGCTCATCAATTAGGTGCAGTCCCCAAGTTTTCGTCAATCTTGTATTCTACTTGAAACCAAATTGCACGAAATTAGAGGAATACAAGCACTTGCAAACAAATTTGTTTTCTACGAAAGACTCTCCTGGAACCCAGCTGGATCTCTACTACTACTATTCACTGCTCATAGGATAGTGCATTACTTCTATACATGTATCGCGATATCTCAAATATGAAAAGTGTGGCGCCTTTGCGCAGCACATTCCGCTGCTTATAAACATCAAAAACGAGATATTTAGCTAGGTTCCAGGTGAGTCTCTAGAAAACAAACAAATTTGTTTGCAAATGGATGTGTTTCGCCAAGCTCCCAGACTCTTTTTTGAAATGCACTTCCCGACAATACACACCTACATTTGCAAATACAAGCGAGAAACTTACTTGCAAATCTGTAAATCCAGGTTGGCCATTTCCCACTACGGTCGAGAGTAATGGTATGAACGTGAAAGTGCTTACTGTCGAAGCCCAAAAACGTTGATATGTTCGGCTTACGGAGGCTGCAAAGTGTGTAAATTTTAAGCACGCTTCCACTGGCGGTGTTGAAGACAGTCTTGGAAATGCAGAGTTCAAAACGGACCTGCTAGAGGATTATTTAATTTCCCGATAAACCTTGCTCAAGACTAAGAGAGGACAAATAAACTTCAAGAAACATTTAGCCGCAAATTACAACTTTCCGAGTGAAGATGAATGATGCTTGTAAAAGGTTTCCAGTGAGCTGCCTGTTTTCTCGCCTGAGGGCGCGTCGGTCAGTTTATACTGTACCTCTGCCCAAAAGTGAGCCAAAGTTCTACGGTATTTTCCCACCTGTGTTTTTTATCCTGGCGTAACTTCTAGACGAGTGGGGTGATGAAGTCACTTGAGGATACACGGCGCCTAGCGTAAATCCTGCATTATTATAAGGATGGTGCCAAGCGGTTGTCTGAGTTCTGTTTGCTGTTGCATACGGATTGAGTTACAAAGAATTTACCCGCATATTTAGTGTACAGCGTGGGAGCCCCAATAAGGTTTTTGGACAACTATGCGAGGGGCTGTAGAGAGATAGCTTTTAGAAATCAAAGAGACTGATGGATTAGTCAATTGACTTTCAATATATGAAACGCGTGGTAGACAGCCTCCCAACTTGGTGGAGTTGACAAGTGAAAAACTAAATCCGGCTGAAGTAAGTGATTTTTCAGCATAAACGAGGGAGAAGACACTTGATTTATTTGACTGATCGAATTTTTACAAAAATAATAATTATTATTATTCTGCGGTCTAATGCTACATTGATGCGTAAATATTCGCCCAGTTATTGACTGACTGGCTGTTATCACATGGTAAACACAGCCTTACCAACTGGACGCGTAACCCAACTAAGCCTTAACCCTAGGTTTCTTAGTCTGACAGAATATGTACACAGGATAGCCAGTTTACCTGAATTCTCGTTAAAGCGCGTTAACTTTGCAAACGGTTTACCTTTTTGCCGATGAGTTTGATTCACAACCTACTGCTAGCGATAAGAATTAAATCTGAATGTAAGAGCGCACAAAACGTATTTGTAAACCGAGTAACGTTTATCACAGCCAGTGTCAGCTAGATAGGCAATGTGTTCCAGAGGACACAAGTTTTTTTTTACTATAACCACATACTTGTACCTGTTGCATGCCTTGCCAGTGTCAGCTAGATAGGCAATGTGTTCCAGAGGACACAAGTTTTTTTTTTACTATAACCACATACTTGTACTGCTAGCATACCTTGGCTGTCAACTTTAGCCGCGTTATGTGAAAACAGCATATGTGTAGGCGAACTACGATCGGTAACATGTCATCTTGCTGACAAGGGTCAGGATCTACCACCATCAAACATTAGGTCCGACAACATTCTCCTTTTTTGTTACATGTTCTGATAGGTTTGTGGGTTTTGTCATCCCAAGCGCATCCTGGTATAGGGTGCTTCACACTGAGCATCCGACAGAATATCATCTACAACCCGTGTCAACTGCTATAGGTTATTTTTGGATGGTTCTGTAGGACTTATGGTGCTCGATTTGAGCACATGTTTTTGGTGGGACAGTCTTACTACAAAATATACTTCCGTCCATTGGACGGTGTCTGGCGGCACAAATATGAAAAAGGCTATAGACTGCGTAGTTGTACGCTGCATTGCACCTTATGCAAAGCGAAAAATTATTGGGAATCTTCGGTTTCTGTCAATATCGGATTAGAATACTTATTCGAGTCCAATTTGTTTGCATTCACTGTTTTTGTAAATATTTGCCATATTATGATGAAAATTTCCCCTTTTTCGTTTATTCCTTCAGAACGCAGAATGACACCCTAATAGGCCTTTGCTCTTCTGGACACATTGGAGGTAAGAGTATCAACCATCACATAACGAACTGCATTAAGTATGCGTCACGTGAAACGTACTTATCTTTAATATTGTTATGTTTTAGAAGCGAACATGAGAATGATAACGGTAGTCATAGGTGTCGAACAACTCACGTTTTTTCTGTTAACCCCAGATTACTGCATGTGAGGTACCACTCCACCGGCCTTAACCGCTAGACATATGACTAGAAGGAAGCGATAATCAGTGCAACATTCGTAAATATGCCTAAAATTTGAAGGTCACAACAGGTAAACTAGGCTCGTTCGTCCGTAGAAGGACAATGGTTGATGCTTCGGTTAGGTAGGCTACCGCTCCCAACTGAATGTACGAAACGAAAGGAGAAAAACGTGGCTGCACAACAGGTAAACTAGGCTCGTTCGTCCGTAGAAGGACAATGGTTGATGCTTCGGTTAGGTAGGCTACCGCTCCAAACTGAATGTACGAAAAGAAAGGAGAAAAACGTGGCTGCGCCTTCCGTGATGGTGGACCTTGAAAGGTTAGTGATACTTGAAATGAGACGAATTTAAAGCCAAAGGCCTCCACTGAAAAGAGAACAACGGTCATGTAAATGGCTAGGTTGTGCGTGAGGTGTGTGGCGTTTTGTACCTTTATTTTACTTCCATTATAACACTACCTATTTCATCAATTGCATAATCTTTTTTTGAATACGAAAAACCACAAAAAACGCGCACTTGTAAAATTTCACATAATACAAGCGTGGTCACGTGCTTCGACTCTCTCTTCTGATATCGCTCGCGCTTGCAGCGGCCTTTCGCGAGTCTCATGTACTAACTCTGATACCAAAACATTTCAGATATCTTCGGAATCTATTATATGTGGGAACCGTTCAGAAGAAGACCTCTGGACCAACATAATTGGATCATTGTTCATTCGCTGACCTGGGCCAACGACGAACTATTTTAAAGAGAACAATTGTTGGTGAGTCTGTTCCATCTGACCTCTTTATTTTTGTATGCCCAACCTAGCGTACTTATTTTTATTTCTTTGCCACACACTCGTAGTAAACCAATTTATTGGGTAGCCAGGCCACTACAAATTTGGTGAGCCCGAGTATTTCTAAATAATTTTTTTGAAAGCATTTTCTTTCAAGTCGTCGTAATTTTGTTTCTTTTGCCCGGTAATTATGGAATCACACTTTGATTCGGCGGATTTAGTCGAGAATGCCTTTAGCATACGTTTACCAGACTACAATCCACACACCCCCAGGTTGTGGCTTCACCAGGTGGAGGCCGTTTTTGCTTCCCGACGCATCACTTCCCAAGCCACCCGGTTTTCCTATATTGTCCAGCATCTTCCTTGTGATGTAACAGCAGAAATTGAAGATCTATTGGAAGCTACTCCTAAGGAAAACCCGTTTGACGCCCTTCGAGCGGCCGTCGTAAGTCGGACAGGGAAATCGGAGAACAAAATGCTACTGGATATATTCACCACTGACGAAATTGGGGACGGATCACCATCGCAATTTCTTCGTCACACGCGCAGTCTCCTCTGCGGCCGTAAGCTAGCGGTGGAAACCATGGCCCAACTATGGCTCGACAAACTCCCACCCTCCATGTCCCAC